TTCGTATGTTTCCTTTTTGATGTTCTGTAGATGTTTTGTATGGTACAATCCTTCACCGAACTTTCACCTCACAAAGAAATATTTTTGATTCCGATGTCATTATTTCTAGATAATAATTGTTATGCTTTGTTCTGTGAAATGGATATTCTTTCTAGTTTTCGTTCCTCATTCAACAGTTAGAGTAGAAGCAGATGTTGTGGATATTTCATTGTAAAGTGATTGCTTAAAACAGCTTGTGATCATGTTTCTCAGCTACTTGATCTTGTTCTTCAAATACGGATTTATTTAGTCACTAATGTTTACGTGTTCAAAGGCTACTGTTAGTAATGTTTGGCAGACTTTCTGATTTTACTGGTCAAAACTCATCTTGACTGTTTAATTGCCTTACTTTCAACAAGAAAATGATCTGTTATCTAAATGGCACGTGTGACACATGGGGCCACATACACAAAGGAGGTTATCTTGCTGGCTCCTGTTGGGAGTCAGGCTTTAAGAACCCAATCCTGTGAAGTCCTCATCTAGTGACCATTTGTTAGAAGCAAAGGCAGTCAGTGTGTCATGGCACTGGTGTGTGGAGGAAGGAAGGAGCATTTTGGAAGTTTTCTTTAAGGTTATCTGCGGACTGCCTGCTCTTCTGTTCTGACTTGCACAAACCTTACTCTTATAATCCTGATTCTTTCTTGAGATCCTGCCAATCATTCCAGCTTCTGAGGTGATTGCAATGCTGGCAGGTGTCCCAAAATACAAACCAAGGCTTAAATTTCTGTTTAAAGCTTTCTGAGAAAGAAAACAAAATATGAGGGGAGGGGGGAATTTATGCAATGGACTGCTCAAGTCAACTGAACTGACTGTACAAAGTGTTTTGGCAAACAAACAAAGGAGAGAAATAGCTTTGAGGAGCATTACTGCATTCAACAATCTGGGCATTTTCCTGGCTTAACTGGTTAGGTTGTCTGCAGTAGCATGTAATTACTTGGGTTGTAGGAACTCGTTTTGTCAAACACAGATGACTTTCTTCATTCCTACAAAGATAATGCAAAATGAGAAAAAGAAGAACTTAATAGACCTTTGTCATTGAGCTATCTGACACTGTATTGTTTGGTATGCTCTGACTTAGAGGTAGACAACAGATGCTAATACCAGGAACCTGATAAAAGACAGAATGGGTCAGCATGGATCATTATGTACAGACAATTGATGTACATAGCAGAGACTGATACCTGTTTACTTGACTTTTTGAGATGTAGGAGAGCTGGCTGGTTTTTAGAAGAGTTCTAGGAAGGTATGGGTCTTAAACTAAGAGATTTTTTCAGTGAGACTGCTGCTCTGGAAAGAAAAGCTTCCTTGACAGTTCTTTTTCTGCTCTTTTTACGTTTGTTTCTTCATCTCTGTCTGTTTTCAGGTTTTTTCTCTTACATTTATTTAGTTAACTGAGATTTCTTTTTCCATAGTTGCATAATTAGGGGGTTTGGTGGATTTTCTTGTTTGTTTGGGTTTTTTGTTGTTGTTGTTTTATTATTTTAATCTGGCAACTGTAAATTGACTTAATGGATTTGAATGGCTTTCAGTGCAAGCATTTTTATGGACTATGATAATCTTGTAGACTAGCTGTGAATTTGGCACTTTGGCAGACTCCCAGCTTACCTTTTAACCTCACATCTCTATTTTAATAGACGTCCTGCTGCTGTTGTTTTAGCCTCTTTCAAATCTCTTTTAAAACTATGATGCACTTTGTATTTGCGGTAATAAAAATCTACTGGTATTAAATTCCATTATTGCGTGAGTAATTAAGCTGATGTCCTCAGTGCCTCCAATGGCATTTTGAAGAGGCTTATAGGCTTCACTGCTTTGTTTTGGCTTGATGGAGGGATCCCAGATGTTTTTCTTCTGTCAAGTAGGATTATAGTTCGGTAAATGGTAAGAAAGTTAAATTTACTTGTGCTTTTACAGTTATGCTTAAAATTTCACTATCAGTCTTTATAGGTATTCGAATTTAATTTTTAGGCTCTTCCTGTTTTTCTCTTTGCTCCATCTGTTCATTCTCTTCTTCCATTGTCAAGTTAATTCTTTATTGCTAATTTTTGTGTCTTATACAAACTAAGGAAACAAAGACAATGGTGAGTATCCTGTCCTTTTCCATTATGTGGCGGCTTGCCGCTAGTGTTTTATTACTGTTGAGATTTCTCTTAGCTTAGGAGTTTCTTCGGTTACAGACTATATCTTCATTTGATTCCATGGCTAGCATATGGATGGCATTAAATGGAACTTGAAGAATTTTAGGTCCTAACGTGTCCAGTGTGTCACTTGCCTGCACTAGGAAGTCCTGCTTCTGGAATCAAAGTTAAGAGAATCATAGAATCGTTTAGGTTGAAAAGACCTTTAAGATTATTGAGTCCAACCATAAACCTAACACTCCCAAGTCCACCACTAAACCGTGTCCCTGAGCAACTCATCTACACAGCTTTTAAATACCTCCAAAGATGGTGACTCCACCACTTCCCTGGGCTGCCCATTCCAGTGCTTGACAACCTCTTCAGTGAAGAAATTTTTTCCTCATATTCAGTCTAAAGCTCCCCTGATGCAACTTATGTTTGTTCTTGTCTTCTTGTCTTATCTTATTTCTTATTATTTATTTATTATTATTATTTATTATTCTTTATTATTTATTATTGTCTTATCTTATTTCTTCTTGTCTTATCACTTAGTTTTCTCAGCAGCCGCTTGAATGCCATCAGTTCCTATCATAATTTTTTGTATAATGATTTTCTTCCTAATGGTGGCTGGAATTGGTTCCTAGATTACATCAATTATAATTATACTGTGATTTCTTTATCTGAACATCTTGACTTTTTGAAATATAGCTTGTATTCTTCCTTAGCTTAGCAACATTCCAGATAGAACTGCAAAAAAAAAAAAAGCGCTACAGCTACAAGCTTATTTTATTCTCCCATTTGCAAGAGCCTTTTTCTAGTCTTGTGCTTGATCACATTCTACTTGGTGATGTTATAGTCTTGTCTCAATGCAGGTCTTTTGATGGTAACACTTATATTTCACTGGAAGAACAGTTTTAGGAAGACACATTATTTTTGGAGCAGGGAGCTTTATTTTGTTTCTTTAAGGGGCACAGAGCTGTTGATATCTGTTTGCCTTTGAACAATGTTAGACAACTCTTGCAAATCCCTTTCCAGGGACAGAAGGAGGTGATTATTTGAGAGGTTAAGTGTAACCAGCTGGATCTTTGGTTGTTTAGGAACTCATAAAAATGATGACTTTAAGGAATAATAAAATACTTAGTCTGCTCCAAGGGACTTTACGTGTGTAACCAGCTGAGGACCTACAAGAGCAGCGTAACTGATCTGGAAATACCAAAGCCCAGTGTAGGGTACATGGGTTTCAGCAAACATTTCTACAACCAGTATATACTTCAACTACATAAACCCTATCCGATAAAGCTAGTTTGTGTTGGAGATGATGGATTTACTCTTAGTGAGGTAGGTCTGGCTTTGATTTGCCGTGTCAGACTTCTTGAATATGCACAAACCACTTCATAACAGGGTCACAGCACAACCTACTTCTACAGGCACTGTAAGTCCCAATGTTTCCAAGAAGTGTCTGATTTACTGCACATATGTGCAGTGAATATGGAGCCCTTGAGTAGTAAGTCCACTGTGTCACAGAAATACCTGGGGTTTATGCTGTCCTGTGTACATGCTTGAGAAATACATGTTAGATAAAGGTCAGCCAGCATGTTTGATCGGTTTTAAAAGTGTCAAAAGAAAAAAAAAATTAAAAAATAAAAAAATACACCTACTGAAATTGGAGTGATAGGGAGAAAACATTTCACTAAAAAATTTAACACAGGGCAGCCTTGGAAGGGTTGTTCAATCATTTTATATGTGAGAATGCTTCCGCCATGTTGCGATTCCTGTAGTTTTAAACCCTAAGGTCTGATCAGGAGACATATTTTCTGAAAGAAATACTCTGAGTAAGGTAAAGATTTCTCATCTTTCACTGAAGTGGAATTCGTTGGCCTAAAGGATTTTTTCATGTTTGATTTATTATTCGTACATGACTAAATGTTTTTAATTATGGGTGGGGTTTTTTTCATGCAAGTGAGGGTTCTTTTATGCACTGACTTTCCAGATCATTTTGTAGTTTAGTCTAAGGCAAGTGGCAGGTAAGCTAAATGGCACCTGGCATCCATTGTGTTGGAACATGGAATAACCATCAATGGTATGTTTAGAAAATGTGCAGAGAGTAAGACAGGCAAGGTGGATATCCCTTTCTCAGGCTCACTCAGTTTAATAACCAATGAATTCTGTGGTTTTGACACAATGACATTTGTACAAGTGAGCAGAGACGGCTGCTAAGATGTGTTGTTTAACAAGGAATGCAAAATATTCCTGGGAGATTATTTTTGAGGAGGTTTAAACTGCAGAAAATAATGGTCCCGCAGAATGGAGTGGGTTTTTCATCCTGCAGAAAATAATGCTCCCAAAGATTAGAGTGGGTTTTTCATCCTTCTCATTGCAATTTGAACTTGAATTGCTAGAATACATTAAGAATCTAATTCAAAATAATTCAAATTTGAAAGTACCTATTAGTTCATCCCATATGATAGACTGTGGATAATTTGGTGCTCCTTACTTTCTTCTAATGCAAACATGGAGACTGACTTCATTGTTGACCTATTTCATATAGACAGAACATTCTTTTCCAAATGTTTCTGATACTGTCTTGAATACAGCTGTGCTGTCGTGCAGCTAAAGAGAGAGTAAGAGAGAGTCTTGCAAAATGCTTGTCATTGCCCACTTCCTTATTGCCTGTAACTAGGTCTGTTAATTGAGTGCTACCAACTTTTCATGTACACATGTGAAGAATGGTTTCTCAAGGGTATTCGTGAAACCATCTATTTGTCATATTCTATAGCTTATGATGGAAGTCAAGAGCACATGACCAAAATTTAAGAGCTGTTTTAATTTTGCGCCTTTTTATTTCAGGGACCTGAAACTGGACAATATTCTTCTGGATGCAGAAGGCCACTGTAAACTGGCTGACTTTGGGATGTGCAAAGAAGGGATTCTGAATGGAGTAACCACCACAACCTTTTGTGGCACACCTGACTATATAGCTCCAGAGGTATTTTTTTGCACTGCACTAAGCATACAAATATTATAACTCATCAGACTGTTATATATGTAGCTTTAGACACTTTTTACATGTAGATGAAAACAATAGAAGATGCAGACTAGGCTGTGCTGCAGTTTTTCCTGGATAATCTTGCAGAAATTGGTTACTTTCCTGCTCCCAAACAGTATTCCATGTTGATAGGAATGTCAAAGTATGATTTTTCTGTTATTTATTTCCTAAACTTAACAGTATTCTTCTCTATACACTCATTTCTGACTCAGCATCATTGTGAAGGCATTTATTAGCCTTTAAGGTGCTAGACGCAATTGAGTACTAGTCTTTAGTAGTTATAAAATTGTTTTTAATTTTGCTGAAGACTGAGAAGGACAGGTCCGTACACAAGAAAGCGTATGTTTGGTGTCATTCTGCCTAGGGTCTATGTGGGAATATAATTTTTTCCCTTTATTTAAAGTATCTGTGAGTGAAAGCTAATGCGTTTGTGGTACTTTTCATCATATGGATCAACAGAAAGTACAGATTTGCATGGAAAAGTAGAAACTTTTCATATGGTTGCTGCATATCAGTTGGAAACATCCACTCATTTCAAAGCATTCACTGAATAACAGAAATGACTGAGGATAGTGTAGGTTTTATATATCCTAAATTTTAATATTATGAGATGCATTTCCAAGTAGCTAAAATAAATCAATATTGCACAGTTAGTCTGCCAGGCAGACTGTCTGCTCAGTTTAGTTAGTAACCTGTGCATCCTTCCGATGAAGATTCAATGTGCTGATTTCATGTAAAAGTCTCATTGGTTTGTCTTTCATCAACCATAAATTTGTAGCAGGGAAAAATGTTAGTCTCTTGTTTGTTAGAAACAATAAATTACAACTCCATATTCTTAGCGCTCCTGACTGTCAAGATGACAGCCTACCTTTGGTAGCACAACTGAAAAGGTGTGAATCATTTTGAAGCTATCATAATATAAATATGTCTTATGGGGTTTGAAAAGTTTTCCAGCATTAAAAGAAAGTAAATACCAATGCGAATGTTCTGGGTTTGTATGAATTCTTCTCTGATTCAGTATACTAACTGAGAACTTGGAAAATTCTTTGAACGTTATTACTGAAAACAAAGCAATAATGACATCCAGGGAACTTTTACATGAAATCCTTGTCTCACTGAAGTCAGTAACTCAGGCTTCCGTTTCATCATCTTAATTGCAGAAGTTTGTCTCCTATTTCTCTTGCATCATTGTGGTATGTTTCAATTTCCCTTTCTTTAGCAATATCTGAGTTCCAAAGAGTGCCCAGAACCCTTGAAAAGTGCACTTTTGAAGAATGTCTTTTTTTGTAATTGACCTCTGTAAAATGTAATATCCATTCAACTAAGAATCCAATCAGGATCCAGACCTCGGTGTTTAAACATTAAACTCATTTCTCGTTTTATGTTCATATTGAATTTGCTTTTCTACTGGTTGTGGTTCCCAAGTACAGCACTGAGCTCACATGGTTCACCACAAGGCTTGTGACTGTAACACCGATGTTGTTTAAGGTGGAGTTGTTTCCATTCCAGCTCAATTTAAGGCAGACAGCTTCACCTTAAACAGACACCTGATGTACTTTCCCCAGTCCCCTGTCATGCTGAAACATTGCAGCCAAACTACAAACTTTTTATAAGTGGAGAGGAGCCAAGAACTAGACTTGTTCCTTGTACAACAGTAGTTCAGTAACACCAAGTAGTACAATAGAACTCCATCGTGCTAACCTAATACTCCTCGCTAAAGGTATTTGCTACAAGGTTGAACTTATGCCACCTGAGAAGTTGTAGCCAGTTTTTCTTGAAAACAGAGACAATTAAAGTGAGTCCTGCAGCCATGTATTGTGTTTTAATACTGTAAAAAGAACAAAAATGCTTTTGGCTTCCTTCAGTCCTACCTAAAGGACTAGAATAAATCTCTCAGATGATCTCTGTGCAGCATTACAAGCTGGTTCAGTTTGTTTTGTTCAAGATAGAGACAAGGAAATGTTTCACATTTTCCACCAATCTGTTTTGTATATGTGATCTTTTTTTCCCCTATAGCGTGACCTGCTTTAAGCAGTTTGGAAGGATATGCAGTTCTTTCGCTCATGAGCATACTCTTTTACTCAGGGGACTGATAAACTTAGTCAGTAGTTCTGAGAACAACTATGCATTGACACTTAACTGCGTTAGCACAAATCGCATGGGGTAAGAAACCATGCCTGCCGTTACCGAAATCAGCGTGGGATTTAGTCCTGCTTAGGCGCTGGGGGGAAGAAGGGGTGTATCATGTTGAAATAGCAAATGTGCAGCTAAGACTGTTGTCTGCCATGTCTATTCAATCCAATCTCTGTTTCTATACTAGATCCTCCAGGAGTTAGAATACGGCCCATCAGTAGACTGGTGGGCTCTGGGTGTCCTCATGTATGAAATGATGGCTGGGCAACCCCCCTTTGAAGCTGACAATGAAGACGATCTCTTTGAATCCATCCTTCACGATGATGTCTTGTATCCAGTCTGGCTCAGTAAAGAAGCCGTCAGCATTTTAAAAGCAGTGAGTCTTCCATTATGTGCTTTCCTCCGCCTCTTCACGATTTTTGGGGGGACTGGTGTTTTGTGGGTCTTTTTTTTTTTTTTCTTTGATTAAAATTGAATTTGCTGAAAGTTGTTGAGAGCAGTCACCGCTGGGAGTTCAAGCTCAGTTCAGAGTGCCACTGTTAGGATAATAGGGCCTGGGATAAATTACACCACTTGTGGGAAAGGAACAGAATGTTTGTATTCCACGCAGTTGTACACTGTATAAATCTGTGTACTGCAGATTCATGTTTCAGGGAAAACCCAACCAACTAGAACGGTGCTATCACTTTGACACTTTATATGCCACATGCTCACTGCAGTGGGGGAAGCACTACGTAATTAAAGGAACAATGTTTTTTATTTAACCCACTTATAAAATTTCCTGTCCTGCCTTTCTTCCTCTATCATCAGGATGGGTCAAAAGCCCTTTATTTACTGCTGCGTATTCTGTTTTATGGTTTACGTAACACTTTGATAAGCAATCTTACTCTAGGGTAATTGTTTCTGCTATGTTTGGTGTTTTTCAGTATAAGTAGTGACTTGACTTTGGTGTGTCACCGAATGTCACAATTTTTTTAATCAGTCAAAATGTGCCACTGGGTAACTTCAGTTTCTAAACTACCTTTCCAAAGTCAGGTTTACTTCATTAACATGACACTGTTTAAGTTCTTTCTGCTAATATAATCCTAAAGTAAAAAGCAAAACAAAACAGAAGCACTATGCCAGTTCCCATGGTCTGAAAACTGAGAAGGATTTCTGCCTTACAAAAATAAATTGTTTTTTATTCCAGTATTCTGCCTGCTTTGGATGTGGAAAATTTCTACATTTCCACTTCTAGTTTTCTCTCAGCATCTGGAATAAGGGAGACTTTCAATTAAAAGGGCAGCCAGTAGTATTAAGTGATCTTCATGCGGGGTTAGATTTGAAATTATATATAAAACTTTAACAAATTCGCATTTTAAAACCGTTGGACAGATAGCACATTCTGCAGAAATTCTCATTTTAATCTTCTAATGAAAATACCTTCAGGCTTATTCCAGCTGAAAGAGAGAGATGCCCTAGTAGATAATTCAAACCAGAAGTCCAAGTTAACCTCTCTGAATTGTCTGCTGGAGTATCTCTTTTGTTCCGGTTACTGTAGTGAGAACATAGAGGATTTGTGAAAGCTGACATTTATAAATACTCTCTATTCTCCCTCCAAATATCTCTCTGATGACTTATTATTAGCTGACATGATACTTTTGTATTTCCTTTTTTTTGTTCCCAGACCCTTCAATTATTTTCAGTTCAGCAAAAAATGTATGGGCTTGAGCCGCAGAATTCAGGCTGATATCCAGGGTTCAGGGGTTATTCTGACATTCAATGTTCGTATCTACATCTGAATTTCACTGAATTCCAGATTTTCTGTATTGTTTTGGTTTCCTGGCCTGTAAGATCTGTTCCTTTGCCATCCACAACCTCCTTCAGTGATTCTGCATTAACTGAGCTTTCTGTTATTCTAAATCATAGAAGCATTTATTGGAGGGGAAAAGATAACTGATAACTCTTGATTAAGTGTGTAGTATGAAAGCCAGTGTAACTGTTGGGAGAAGTTGTTTGTTTTACAAAGGAAAGGGAGAAACAAATTTTACAGTCAGAGCCTTACTGTGTTATTTGTGGCACAAGTAGTGAGATGTCTAACTGTGAATGTTCTACACGTCATTCATTAACCACAGACAAATCCAGACACAGAATTGGGCTGCAGGTGTAAACCATGTATTTTTGTGAATCTAAGTGCAAGGATGTTAAATCCTCTAATTTCTTTTAAAGCTGACTTTGCTATAAATTTTCATGAGGCTATTTTCCTGGGTCTACGTTTGGATAGTAGGCATGGTAGTTTATATTTTTCTCTAATACGTCTTTCTGTCTGAAGTTAACTCTTGGTGCAATTATACACCTTAAAAAGAGAGTTGCCTCCGTTAAATAGATTTGCACTATAATAAAAGATTATTCCTCACTGGGCAAGATGTCTTCACTGGCATAAATTGGTAGAATTTAATGGAACTGTGCCAGTTTAGACCATAAAAAGAAAACACTTCCTTATATTTAGCAACCTGCTGCCTGTGCAGCTATGGCATGAAACATGTTTGAAACTTGGCCTTTTTATCTGATCCTTGTCCACATTCTGTTAACTGAAGAACAGGAAAAGCAGAGGAAAGAAATAGGTATCCATGTATTTTACTGCTGAATATTAGCAAGGGATTAACTTTGGAACACTTCATTTCCTCACATTGTGCTTTAAGACGTGGGTTTTATTCTTTAGAAACTGTTTTTTTACACTCCTCCAAACAGCATGTAAATAAAGTTTAATAAGAAGACATTCTCTTGTATTAAGTAAAATGTCTTCTCATTTTCTGAAGAAACAGTTTTCCTGTCATTTCCAACAAAACACTAATGAGGATAATTTTACAGCTCAGTATTACAAGGCAGCATGTTGCTTATTCCATAAAATCCCACAGAACTTATTAGTCCTCTTTCTGTGAATGGACAGGAATTGCTATTTAAAATTCTTTCCTGTCTGGTAAGGAAAACAATTCTTCATTGAAATTAGCTCTGTGCTTCTTTGCAAGCGATAGAGAGAGGCTGCATCTACAGTGTGTGTTCCCTTTGTACCCAAAGGACAAATACCTCTGGATGCAGAGGCAGAACTCTGTTTTTAAGCTGTGCCATTTATTTCCAGAAGGAAAATTTTAGGAGCCTGGTGATACTTGGTTCAGGCCCCAAGTTGCATAGCTATCTTGGCAACAGGCTCTTGTCCTCTTGTCATTTATGTCAGTAGGAACTCTGATCTTAAAAGGATTCTCTTTTCATAAAAGGAGGTTCCTGCCTTAATACTGGAAAATAAAAAGACAACATTTACGGCTATGGCTGTCAGCTCCATTGGCAACCATGTCATCAACACAGTACAGTTAATGGCTCTCTCCGCCCTGACAGTTGCATCGTTGTTGACACTGGTGATAAAGAGGGAATAAATGACACTTTATGCTTCTGAAATAAAAGTAGATGGTGAAAAAAATCAATATTTATTGCAGTGGGTGAAATGTATAGAATTAAATGTCCACCTCGGAGTTTGAGATTATTGCATCATTTTGAGATTACTGCATGTCATAATTTTGTTTGGTTTTTTTAAGTATTCACCCTCAAGATTTTTTCTCCCTCGCTGTCTGTTTCCAAGTTTCATGAAGTCTGTGAAGTACAGTACTTAATTGTACTATCTCGTCATACTTTCATGTCCTGGGCTTCTTAAAAATGACATGTTCTGGTGTTTCCTCTGCCTCTGGCTTAAAACAAAGATAGAGCAGTGCAGATACTAGGATCAGATTTTGCTTCTTTGATACCTGGATTATAAGGGACCAAAAGTGTATCCTGTAGTATCCTTGTTCTGTTTCTGTAAAATGTGTGGCTGCTGGTTCCTGGCCTGTTCGTTCCAGTCCTGGAGGTGAAATAAAGCAGAGGAATGTAGGAATGTGTGTTGTGGTTTTCCAAGAGACCTCACCAAAGCACAATAATCCTTTCAAAATCTTTGTTTCTCCTGCCCATAGAAAATATGGCCTCTAGTTTAGATATGTCTTGTCCGTTTGCAAAAGAACTTGCGGAGCGGTTAAGCACAGGACCAAAGAGAAGGATCGTCTTCAGAGTAGCACGTGTATGTCAGAAACCACAGAGAGAATTGCTTTGCTGATCTATGTTATATCTTTAAAATGATAGCAATGGTATTCTCCCTGAATGGTTGATCTGGCTATCTAAAACCATTTTATGGACTTCAGGAGCTACTTATCTAATAAGTGGAGTACTAAACCAAGGGCGTGCATTATAGTGATTTATTCTTTTGTAAGGTGGTTTTTTTTCCTACAGACGCATAGTGTAATGAGGCATATATGTTAAAAAGGCACAGAACAATTACCACATTTTGTTTCATTTGTACACTTTAATTTTAAAAATGTTGTAATAGTGCCTTAATATGAACTTATAGCAAGGCTTGGGATAAATCTGTAACATGAGTGTGTGTGTATAAGAACAACACTTGTTGCTGCTTGAATTGCAGGGATTCAGTGCCTACCTGCATTAAAAAAAAAATAAATAGAGCAACTGCCAATAAAAGAAGGAAGAAATAAAAGAGAAAAATCATGAAAAACATTATCAGCTGCCATCATTTGATATCAGTATTTTGCACCAGTTGTATAGCCTTTTGCTGAAATGAGTTTGAAAGTGAGAAGTTTAGAAATTACCACACCAGAGGAGACCAGTTAATTCCAGTTGCTGCCACTAACAGTGTACTAAAGATGCAAGGGATGGTGAAAGTTATGTCATGGAGTTTCTCCAGGGAAGCTTTCTGCTGGTACTGATCAATCCATGTATTTCATGAAACGTATGGACAGAACATTTATAATTCACATACCTGCAGGTGCTGTTCTTACTCATTTCTAGGATTTTATTCTGAGATGAATACGGAGGTTAGGGCTTTCCATGTGTCTGCTTCAGTGGGAATATACAATTATGCAACCTACACAAAGAAGATGAACAACAGTAAGCTTAATACTTAGCCTCTATCCCCCAAATCAATAGTTAAGATAGAGCAAATGAGATAAAATAAGTTACCCTGACCACCTAGTTGGAAGTGTCTCTGGAGAGTTTAATATTTTCTTTCGTTCCTTTAGTATTTTTGGCCAAAGCTTGAACTAGAAATGCTGAAAGAGAATCTGTTCCTGTAGCCCTCCCAGACACATGAAATCAGGAGGTCTCAGCAATCAGTTGAAAGAGCTTCCTGCAGGAAACTTACACTTTGGAGTCTCTGAATCTTTGCCTGGAACCTCTGCAATTTGGAGGGGCATGCTTGTTGCTCTTGCAGAAAAAATACCCTTCTGAATGCAGACTAGGCTGCAGGACTTGTAATGCATAATTGAACTGCGAACAGTTTCAAGCCATTGCCATTCAATTTCTAACTTCTTCATCCTCTCCCTCCCCCATCCTGTAGTTCATGACAAAAAACCCAAACAAGCGACTTGGCTGTGTGGCGTCACAAAATGGGGAAGACGCGATTAAGCAGCATCCGTTTTTCAAGGAAATTGACTGGGTTCTTCTAGAACAAAGGAAAATCAAGCCACCCTTCAAACCTCGGATTGTAAGTAGCAGTTTGCATAACATTCAGAGAAAACTTGGTTTGATAATTCTAGCTGTTGCCTTGTCTGAGATATGAGATTACGTGATGCAACGATTTGGGCTTGAAATAACAGCATAAAAATTATGCTGAAAAGATTGCCTTGTCATTTCTGCGAAGGTAAGTGTCAGGAGTAGATTTAATACACAGGAATTGTTCGTGTTCAGTCACATAAGCCATGAGAGGGTTTGAGGCCCTGTTACTATTTTCCTGTGTCCCTAAAGATACCTTGGTGGGAAGAGATTCTTTCAGTTGGGTATATACTGTCTGTACTTTCTTCGTGAATTCTGCTACAGTCTTACATTGCTGATGGCCAGTGGATTTCGTAGTGAAAGACAAAGGAGAGGATTCCTGATTAATAATGTTTTAACTGAAGGTACTTAAAAAATCCCAGCTTCTTGGGTGAAAGAAATATACATCATGATAAGATAAATGATGTACTTATATTTTCCTACATAATAATCAAGTGTTTCTATGTAGCAAAAATGCATAAATAGCAGCCCCACATGTAAAAATTACAAAAGCCAAGCAAAAATAGTTATTCTTGTCTTCCTCTGGATGAAAATGCCTACAGTTCACCAAATGTCAGCTTTTCAGCTGAGAATTAGTGCAGTTAATTTTATGCTTGAACAGTACAAGACAATAATTTTGTGATAAATCCTTTGGGATTTATTTGCATCTTTCAACTTTGCACATTTCTGACTACAATGTTTGATTTGCCTGTAAATATGATCAAGGTATTTCTTTCTTTCTTTCAATAGTTTACAAAGGCATTTTGAAAACAAAAAAAAAACAAAAAAAAAAAACAAAAACTTTAGGCTCAACACTGAATTAAAACTTAAATTTAAAAGTATTAAAGTCCCCTCTCTCATTGAAGAATTGCTGTCACTTTTAATGCATTTAATTGTAGTCCACAGAAATGCATTTCCTCCAGTTCCTTATGCAGGTGGTGTAAGTGGGGCTGTCCGTCCAGAACAGGAGCCTGAGGTAGCTCTTCTGAATCCACTCCTGGAGAAGTCTCTCCCTCTCTCTTCCTCCCTCCCTCCCTCTCTCTCTCTGTGTAGCTATGAAGAAAGAGCCCAAAGAGGTTGACAACTGTTAGTGAAAGCCCTTGTGAATATCTTTCTAGGAGCAACAGTAAGATATAGTGCTGTCATATGGAGGAGTTTTTCTTAGTATATTTCTTGGAGAATGAAAACCCTCTCCTGGAAAGGTTCCAGCCAGCCTGGCATGCCAGCTCGCTTACCCCGTTGCCCAGTTCTACTCTGGAGGTGTGACCAGGTTGCACCTAGTGCCTGAGCTGACTTACAGTTCTCTGTGTTGCTGCAGGAAGTGTAACCCCCAAATTAACCCCATTAATATCCACTCAAATCCTATTTAATACTGAAACTAACTGCTTTCCAGTCAGGTTCCGCAGCCATCAGAGAGCTGCAGGCAGCCTCAGTCCGTGTTCAGCTGAGTTGTGTGCGTGTAGCTCTCTTCCTGTTTTCACAAGTATTTGGTCTTTCGTTTCACAGTAGTTTCTGTTGCTTTGCTCAGCATTCATCAGCGTTTTTGGTAATACAGTTATCAAATCAGGATGCACAATTCCAATATATTTTTCACTTTATGCCTGCATCTAGTAAGTCCCAGATTCCTCACATATCTTTATAGGCTGTTTTCACGAGTGAGGTGTACCATCCCTTTGACACTAGGTGTTTTTATGAGGCCTTTATTATTTTTGTAAGTATTCCTGCTTCGAAAATCATTCCTAAAAGTCAAGAGGCATTTAGTATGTCTGATATTTTATGCATTGCTGATATAAATACCTTCTACCTTCCCAGTGCAGCTTCTTTCTCTTCTGATAATTACTTCACTGCTGTTGTATTGTAAAGCCATTCCTATTTTATTAATTCCTGGATTTTTCTGCCTTTTCTCCTTTTCTGCTTCCTTTAACAGTATTGTAGTTGGATATTTCAGTTTTAGTAGTGATTTCAGGTTATTTTAGAGTACTCCTCCATACAATTTTCAAGACAGCTGCTTGCTCTTTAACATTTGTTAGAGTGATTTTATACATCTATGTTTATACCTTTTCTCATTTTTCTTCAGGCTGCTTATATAATGTCAGATTTTCATACTACTTCATTCCATATTGTACATGCCAACTTTCTTTATTCTCCCAAATCTAATTCCTGCAATCTAGTAATTCTGTATGCTTGGTTTTTTCTGAACTCTTGTTTTCAGATAGTATGTAATTTATGTTACAGGCATCCCTATTATTTTTATGATCTCAGTCTGCTTTCTTTAAGATATTTTCCTCAGTGACCTGGCCCTATCAACATTTACTGATAACTTTACTACATTTAGAAAGGGTATACCTTATATATTTACACCATATTTATGATCCATCAGCTGTTTTGTACCAGCGGTATAAATTTTCCATTTGTTTGGGTTTTGCGGTTGTGTAGAAATCTTTGAGCAAACTCATTCTGAAATTTTTACTTTTCCTCTTAAAACTGAATGATATATTAGTTGGAGAGTAAAGTGTGATGTATATCTAGAGAGATGAAAAAGGTCATACAAATAAAATATAATGATTAATTATGGAAATTCAGAAATTATAAAATATTTAGAGCAGTAAACAAATTCTGAAAAGGTGATTTTGGATACTTGCGCTCACTTTAAGAAGTACAGGAAAGAGGGAAGAAGGTGAACACTAATGAAATAAAGTCTACTTTAAAATCTAGATAGAGAGGTCCTCTCCAAATTCAGTTGTGGGTGTAGCATTGAGATTCATTGATTCATGTTAACAAGTGAACTGTTCCATAGCAATGGAGTAACTATGGAAAAAACAACTAATGCCTGTGTTTGGAATGTTTTCTCTTTTTTAACATCTTTCAATAGTGATAAAGGGCTGTTGATTATTTAAAAGTGACTCGTAATATTAAAAGGGGATTTAAAATTATATATTTTTAATCTTACGTTCAGGAGACTCTAGGTCTGTGAAAATAGCTGTGAGAAGAGAGGCCAGATTATTAGTCAGAAAATAGACATTCTTGCATGTGATATGTGAGTATACAGATG